GCACCAAGCCGATTTCTCACGGCCTCGATCTTGAGCACCAACCATTCCTCTAAGAATTAAATTAGCGCCAACCCTAAAAACGTAATATCCTGTCCTGTGAGCTCTTGTTCTTCAAAGGACGAGAAAGACAGTGTGGTTAATTGATGCATTCCAAACAAAGTTCCCCAAACTGTTGTTTGTATGCCATGAGAAAGCTGATAAACTGCTAGTAATCTGCTTACCTGTTTTTTGTTGACCTTGAAGAAAGGTTGAAGTAAAAGTCAAACTGGATGAGGTACAGAAGAAGTAATAAACCCGGTAAGGTTGTTATTGTTGAAGGAAAGCAGATATCGGTCAGCACAGCACAACGTAGTTCACAGTTTTCTCTAACACAGCCACAGGCCCGACAAACTCACTAGCTACTTAAGTTCATTTTTACGCTTCAAAATTCCTGCGTGAGGAGGAGCCGACATCACTGCAGTCTCTGACGATGAGTGTCTGCATACGTCGTTCAGTGGCAAGGTCGGCATACTTCTTATTCCAGCCTCGGAGGCCCGAAACGGCTCTCGGACCCAGGTGCTCTATATTACTATGATAACCCAGGTCTTCCATTGACGTCGCCGCCGACGGAATCCTATTGGTCTGATGTGCGATTTACGCCTAGGTCAGGAGAATCTAGTATGGAGTACGATTCACTTAGTGGTGTGAGTTTGCTATTGGGATGCGGGATGTTCAGTTGATGATGGAGCGTTTTGGCTTCTGCCTCGTTGAGTGCAATCGTTACCATGTTGTCAACATACCGATGATGTAGTAGAACTGAATGGAAATATACTTTCAGTTGAATCATTAACTTCCTCAGGAAGCTATCAACCGATCGAGCAGGCTTCTCACAGCTAAAACCCATTTGGTTTTCAGTTCAGTTTATACAACCATTTACCATGCACTTTCGTACACCGGATAAGGAATAGGAGAAGACAGGAAAGTTGAAAGTGAAGTCGAACAGGAAATGGAGAATTTCACTGATTCTAAGATTGCAAAGAAATTGTGAACGCCACTGTTTACGACTCCCAGCCATATCACTCAATGTCTGTAACCATAGATTACAGTGGTCCCGAGGTCCCCATCCAGGGAGCCTAAAGGGACCTATGTGACCCAGTCCCCTGGTTAGGGCTTTCATACATTCGTGCCAGGTCTTAGCTTGACCACCCTTGACTTTTTTCCACCTGCTTCCACTACTTTGGCAAGCATCGCTCGCCGTTGTAACCTATCTGGTGACATGCATAACAGATGTCCCAACCAACGTAATCTATGGAGGTCGACCACGGTTACCTAAAACTCTGAACGTAACCTCAGCATTACTCGTCCGGCTGCCCCACCAGATTCGTGCAATGTTGCGTAGACAGCTGTGTTCAAACACCGACAGTTTAAATTGGTCCTGTTTCCTTAATAGCCAAGTTTCTGAGCCGTATAGCAGAACTAACCGAGCTGCCACGGCATGCACTCGACTCTTCACAGGCAGGGTTGGAGACAGTCCCGTTGAATTTCGTGAACGTAGATCCAGTTAGGAAAAACACTCACTTGGTTCCCGTCTTCTCCACCTAAGAACTGGAACCATGTACGGGAAACGACTGGGTGTATGGCTGTCCAGCCGTCATAACAACAGTTCTGATTCGTGCTTTATGAAAGCATTCTTTTGAAGTATTTCCACGACGCCTTAAATCTATGTTTACGTCGAATAACGAAAAACCAAACAATCGAAAACCTTCGATCGCAAAAATAAAACAACCAAAAAATAGCTAACTTGTGTGCAGTGAACAAGCAAAAACTTGTCATCCCCATAATTCATTGTTTTTCTCTCCCATGTTCTGTTTCTGTAATCCTCTCTCAATTCATGGTTCCTCTGAAGCAATTTTGATGCCATACTACCAGTGTATGAAAATATTTGAAAATATTTCCGAGTGATGCTTAATTTTCCATAATCCTGATTAATCATAGTGATTTAGGTTTTTTCAATGAGTCCGCATGTCGTCCGTATTGTCTATTTCTTTTGTCTCACAATACCCATTCGCTCCGATTTCAGAACGACGCATGCAACTGGGATTTGTCCACGGAGAATTTACGCCAAGCAGTCAATAGCATTTTCTCTTGTCCAGCTGCACTGTTGAATTCCCCGTCGGAGTAAGTATACGTCACATTTCTATCCCATTCCTTCCCTGGGCTAGAGTTGATGAAGCTGCTAACTTTCATTTTGATCGTTTTTCTCACCCTTGCAGATCATCCGTTTTGGGTATCGATGCTCATCAGCGAGAAGTGATTCACTTGCAAAATCTCATCTCTGTCGGTCTGGCTTTACTCCGGGTTCAGCTCCGATCCCTCGTCAGTAAGTTCATGTGTACATACACACCGGCGTGATATGTTTATCGTTTCCCCCAGTCAGCTTTTGTTACTATTTCGGGGACAATCCGTCAACGAGATGTAGTAGCTAAGTTCTAACCCAACATAATACCTTAATTGAATGAGATCTGATACTGTAAGTGGGAATTGATTTATTTAAATCACGCCTTATCGTCATTTATATGTCATATTACCTATGACTAGCCTCTGTCGACTGTCTATTTGAATAAAGGCATGTGTCGTCGTTTGACGAGCAGGAAATGTTTTTTGAAGCACACTGAATCGAATAAATAGAGGTACCCCTCGTTTTGCGTTTCGTCTCACCAACTCTAATGCATAAGACGATGAAAATCTGTAATTTCAATTTGCGAAGAGATAAATTTTAGTAGATCGAGAAAATGAACTACCTCAGCTTACAGAATGACGAAACCCTCCTGTTTAGACCAGTAGGTTTGTAAATTTAGATCATTACCCCAATAATCTTGAGCGGCACGTTGAGCCATCTTGATGACTAGATTAGAGGTAATAATAATATAATAACAACAATCGTTTTACTTCCTTTTTTATTTATTGAATATACAAACGTACATTCACCATTCAGGAAGAGGGGCCACGGCCCTACAAAGGCTGTCTGGGAAGACGGGGCGACGGTGGTTCTCAATTGTCGTTACTGGGCTCGGGGAGTCGCGTCGACTTTAGTCGTTCGAGACTAAATGTTACCTTGATACGTTAACTGCTCAGATGTATATACATATCGGGCTAATGTAATCACATTTTCACTGCACTCGCGAGCAAGACTTCACCGACAATGAAAGTTGTTTACCAATGTCAATTCACTCTACCAACATACATGTTGGTTATTTCTATGCATGGTTGTTTCACTAGCAACCAATTTCATCTATAAAATGCTAGAAACCAGGGAGAGCAAGGTGAATCCACATATGACACTATCATTTTCAAAATAAAATGTGTGAAGTACTTGCCAATATTTAGTATTTCAATCGCCCGACTTCCTTACTTGTCTTTCCCTAGCCATCTGTGAACAAACAGCTTATATTGCTTGGCGGCTATTGGACTATTACCTCAATCAGTTAGAAAACGAAGACGACATGACCTCAACGTCAACAGTTCCCTTTTCAAGTCCTCGCGGTCCGAGCACAGTACGACGTCTCCAAGATAGCGCACCGCTTACACGTTCACCATTCCTCCCGACGAGTACTCCACGAACCGCCCCAATTGGAACTCCTGTTGGCGGGGGATTGCAAAGGAATAAAACTAAGCGAGAAGTTGCCGCTTTGCGAGAACACCTCCCACGGTTGCTAGATGCAGATCTGCTTGAGACAATGACCAGATTGTCCAAGGTGAGTACTACCTTTTTCGCTAATTTGTGAGTGTGCTGTATTGCTGGGTGATATTAATAGACGAACGTTATTAGTCTGTTCCTGTTGAGGGCACTGTCACCGTTTAACTATGTATTAAGTGTGTTCATTTCAAAACAAAACTCTCGAGTAGAGGATATTTGGTTGCAATGAACCTGTTAGACACGATTCGCGGATGATGCATACGGCTCTGCACTGAATTCACTTCAAAAAGTTGATTGAACTTTATCAACTACAGCTATTTTTTTCCTGCACTCGCATGGTTGGCCCCATGATGATACCTAGTAGTCGTGTAATCAGCACGTAGACATGTGAAGAGAGGAATTCAGATTTTGTGTTCTTTACGTTAATGCTAGGTTTAAGATGCCTTACAAAACTCCAATTCCGGTTTGATCCTATTGAAATAAAACCGCGTCTGCGTCCCGGAACCAACGGTTACACGGTCCGATACCAGACCAGATATAGTCCGGTTTTGGTACACCTACCGTGTGTGAGGTGGAATGGTCAGCAGAAAACAGTAAATACTTAACATAGTCCTCGTATGTGTCCGTCGGTTGTTTTTTGAGATAATAAAAGCTTGAAAAAAATGAGTTGATACTTTTGATGCACTGTTTGAATCACTCCATCCATGACTTAAAGCTCTGCTTCTTAACCGCTTTACTGAGCACCGTTGAATACACCCTGTCCTTCCGTGCAGTATGCTGTTTCTGTGGTCTACCCATTTCACAGCCTGATTATCGTCTCTTCTGCTCACCCCCTCCGCCCCCTTTTATTATACAGTCCTCCTATCTTGAATCGAACCAACGACTGTTTGTCCAAGTCATGCAGCATCGTCTAGGTCGATTAATCTCACGACCGGTTGCCGTTCCTGCCTCATAGTCCATATTTGCACAAAGAATCCTTGAAGAATTTCCCGCCTTTTACACTGTTTGTGTAATTTTATCTAATGTCTCCTTGGATGATCGTTGTATAAATATATTTTTTGTTTATCTACTGTCTGTGTTCTTTTACCCAAGCGAATCAATTACGAAATAATGTGATAAACGTTCTTGCAAATGAAGACTTTCGCCCACTTGTGTTTTCTTTGATGCTAGAGAGTCAGATCAGAAGACCGGACCTGAGAAATCCATAGGTGATGGTGAATGCGACGTAGTTCCGCAATTTGAACCAGTTCATTCCGTCCCCCGGGGACGAGAATGCCTAGTGAAACCCTACACTGTTCACCTTTATTTTCCGGACTTAGACTGTCAGCTCCTGTTTTCTCGTCTGCGGTCCTCGACCTTATAGGTTTCCTACATTCTACTGTTGATCACGGTGAGCTATGCCATAAAAGTATTACATAAGACGGAACACTTTGCAAATGCTTCTTTGAATGAATGTCGCACTCATGTGTCCGTTGTACAGCTTCACCTTACGGAGCTCTTTGGCACGTGAAATAGTTGATTGTGGTGAGCAAGTTTGGTTCGGTGGATCGCTTTTCTGCTATTGATTCACGAAAAAACAAAACGAGTATCATGGGCTGATCATTGTCGGAAAAAGTCTGTTAAACGTATTTTGATGCGGTGCGAAACCACAACAGACTGACAAGCTATTTCGCGATACTGTTTGTATCTTCACGGTGCGAAGTAAATTGTACGACTGGGTGTCCATTACCCCCTGCTTTGAAATGAGATGTTTAGGTGTTGATTGCTTCTCCTAATGAAGTGGTCATGTTAGTAATTTCAAGGTGGCACCTTAAGGGGGATAACTACACTCGTGTCCAAGATGTGAACAGCGTAGGTTGGACCGTTCTTGTCGCCAAGACGTTTCACTGAAGTTGAAAGGTCGTATATACTGTTCCGTTCTACGGATTTGTGTATGCTTGCAGAAAACGTCAACTGTCGATAGGTCGGTGCACGAAGGGGGGCAGGCAGCACCGAAGTCATGAATATGGAAATGCATCGGGGAAAAATTCGTTCTCACAGGATTTATTTAAGGACGCCTTGCTAATTCCTGTTGTACAGGTGCTGGCCATACTCGTGCAACATCGCCCTCATTTTGGAAATCTATTCCAGCTTACAATATCATACGTATAGATGGCTGAGTCAAGTGTATTTATTCCTAAATTTTTCTCCAACGTCTATGTTCTTAGTTCTTTACTATCACTGTCTGAACTTGTTCGACCTTGAGTGTTACGATAAAATTTGTAGTCGTTCGAACGTAAGTTTTGATTTGGAAAATATTTTAGGCAAAGCAGCATGGCAAATCATTCTTTTTAATAAATGATTCCTGTCCCAGGAGTGTTTGTTAAGTTGAGCACACGTATTCTAGATTTTTCATCTCTTCATTCACTTCACAGTAAATAAGCAAATTAATGAAAATATTCTAGCTTAAATAAGTTGATAAATTATTTGGCTACAAACTACTCACGCATTGTCCACAATACTGAAAGAACTGGAAACAGTTCAAGGAATACACAAGTTGACCTTGAGGTGTGCGGTTCGTTGAATAAGCGTCCTGTAGTGTCACCATGCCCAGACCGGATGAAACTTTCTAAAGGTTTCGGTTTATAATTGAACCCGAGAGGCGCATAAATCTGATGGCTCAGTTGGTGCCTTGCGGTGGCGCTTCGATGTGTACATAAGTCCAATTTGTTGCATATTCAACGAAATTTCTCTATCAAGCCATAAACCGAGAGGGAGAAATCCGGCAATATCAAAGTAAGACGATAGTTGTATTTGATCGCAGCAGAGAACAGTTGCACAAAAACCAATCTGGATGATAGTCCGGACTGCTTATCTGATTTCTCCTCACCCTTTCGTTTGGAGAATGATGGCTCAATTTAAAATGCAGCTGAGGCCACGTAATATGAAGCCGTTATGGAGTGCTGAACAAAGCATAACGTGTATTGATTTTACCAACAAATTCAAATCGCGTCGCACGTCCATTTGGCAATGGGTTTATCTCACTGGTGGTCGACGAGTAATTCAGCATGCGGTGAAAGCTGATCTACTAAGCTAGTTTTCTAATCAATTTCGTTTTGCCTATCGAAAGAAGTAAATATCAATCCCGCCAAACGAGTTGAAATGGATATGATTATTGAGCGCATTTTTATTGGACTCCTGCATACACCAATATGGACATAGTAAAACTTCTTGCACTGATAAGGGGTTTTTTTGATAACTGTCACTCTCAAAATGCACTCTCAGAAGTCATATTTTTCACAGATGAAGATTTTTACATCTCGCTTGAGGTTTGTAGTATAAGAGCGTTAGATCTAATTAAACACTTACACATTTATACGGTCTCTGGAGGGGTCAAGTTCAATGTCAAATTCGTTCAATTACGGCGCAGCAGCTGGAATTTCAATTTAATCGGAAATTTTTCCCTGTATCAGAGACGGATAAGTTAGCTACCTCGACATTGGTAAGGGCGTGCGGTGTATTAGAGGAAACTTGTAAATTCTATTTGGCAGTCAACTTGGACTCCATGCTAACGCGACTGCCTCCAGTGCTCAAAAAAATGAAGAGCAAATGGAACATGAACGAGATGAAAGTACAATACCTGTATATATTCTTCGAGTCATTTTAATAAATAAATTACAGTTACAGTACATGCAATCGTCTGCCCTGTGGCGCCTTACTTTTGGTTGATGAGGTCACCCAGTAACGTGGACGAGAGGCTTGAGGAAATGCACGAGCAGAATTTAGTAAAGTCTTAGGCGCTGAAGTCTAAGGTTGATTAGGAACCGAAGAATATGGCACTGAACCGACAACAGTGACATTCTCGTTATCGGACCAGATTGTATGAAGAGCTTTACGTGTATAGATTGTGTACTCTGTGTTGATCATAGAACTTAATCGGATGTTTCCTTCTTTCAGAACAGGCTCACTAGTCGAACGTGTAATGAGTCCGGCAGCGATCAGCAAAGTTCGCTTTGCTGTGTGATGATGGGTATTGGTATAACTGCAATATCTGAGTTCCCGTAAGGTTTTACTAACTCAGACCCAGTGCAAGGCAGATGCAAACAGTGATACGACTTCAAGTACATCCGCTTTGCTGCCTTCAGGATGACGGATCGCTCTGCATCAATGGTTGTGGACCGAGGTTGATTGCCAGAAACCGACTGTTTCTACCGAAACAATGATATGGGCAGAAATGTTACAAATTGGACACCTGTATGAAGAACTCAGTAGCTGAGCTGATAGTTTTGACGGGGGATTTGTTGTGGTTGAGGTTCTTCGTAAGCTTTAACGCAGTACCGTATAAACCCTTCAGAGCTGAGCGGAGTTCGCCAATCAAACATTCATTGCCACTGTGCAAACTCCAGCTTCCGAAGTGGGTGATGCGGGAGGACCAAAGCCTACGTTCGTAAAGAGGCATTATTTTCATTAAATTGAAATATTTCATTTTTGAGTTGTTGGCGCTCAAGGAGTCTGGTGGAACTGCTTAGTTCACCTGGAACTTAGATCGTTACAGGACTATGAGCGCTACGTAACACGGTTCTGCCGTATAGTTGAGACTTGGTTTCCAATCAGCGTTCATATTCGGTGCAAGTGCGTGAAAAGGTTAGCAACACGGACGGGGAAAACAAATTTTCCGTATTGTCATCCCGTGAATGCTTTACGGTAAAAGTTTTTTCTCATGCCGTTTGTACCGGAAAAAACGTAATGAGATCTCACGATCGTCTGAAATGAAAGAATACTGTGGCTGTTGATCGACGATGTTTGTGGGTGACAGATAAAGCGCTTAAAGCAGAGATAATGTGATACACAATGCATTCCGATCAGAATCCGTTAAGATGCGTTTAAGTATTCTACCGTTTCGAGTGCGACTGAGTGGTTGAATAGGGCGGAGGCTAGCACTTTAGTGACAGTCAGAGTCAATCTAAAATGAACTTAATACGAGTCTAGCTTCCGAACTTCACCGAATCAAAGAAATCCACGTATCTGACGGATTAGACCGGATCTGATCAGGTAGATTACTTTTTGACTTCGATTTGGACTGACCATACTTCACCCTTACATACAATCCTTAGTGCTTCCAGCTAGTCACACTCAGAAGCATTAGAATCGATTTTCGCACCCATCAACGATGTATATCCGGCGTCCGTTTGAATTTTAAACTTCGAATCGACATCGTGAAAGATGTGTGCTACGGCTGTGCCAACCGGCTCATACCATGGCTGAGCCGAATTACCAATTCGTTTGTTCAAGCTCGTCGTCCCCAGTGACAGTCAGATGAAATGCGCTCCTGAGACCAGATGTTACGTGGTAAATGTTTGATGGAGTCTACAACGATACCACCAATCTTGAAGTGTGAGGAAGCTAACCAGGTTCTGTTAATTTACCTTTCTACAGGGTTCGAAAGTAAGATCGTACTTCTGCTCCTATGAGAGGTTCACATGCTGTCCACGGAGCATCGGCTCCGAAAGTTGGGATAACCTGGATAGCACGAGGCCAGCTGAAATGCTCGTAGAAATATATTCTGCCCATCAGACAAGCCCTTATTTCTTTTGTTCGTGGCTTGTTAACTTGCATGGAAGATTGTTTCACTAACTGGAGTCCGCCTACGTCCAGTGCTGCATGTCAGTTGGATCACCCTGATGCAGCGACTACGTCCATTTCATTAGCTATTGTTTCCCACCAGTGTTTACGGTTCTTTCTGAACTGACCTCGTAGACGCTACTTACGCTTGTTTTGATCGTGGTAGATCGGGATGTTTCGTGTTTTTTTCATCAAGGCTACTAATTCATTCAAAGCCTCGGACTGGATTGAGGTTTGTATGCACAGGCAACGTTCGCTGTGGAGTGCGTTGCTCGTCTGTGTTGTCTAATTTGACACCATTGTTCATCTACGTTACCAGCTGCATCGCAAGCTCTCATTCCTAGCGGGCACGAATGACTAGGTCAGACAAGCGATGACGAACTATCCGAGTTTGTTGGAGACCAGTTAGACCGAGCGTGTATTGCATCCGAACTAACACGTGGTCGGACTCAATGTAGATAGAGCCTACAAATTTGTACTGAGCCACACCAGAGGTAGCCCACTGTTATGTGGTCGATTTGAGCCAGCTTATCACTGGAATTAGAGTGCCGCGTTGCAGCCGTCGAGAGCGGTGTCGGAAGTTGGTACTGAACAGGAGCAGACATTGATTTGCGCAGAACTGTAGAAGTCGATCGCCGTTATCTGTTCGTTGGGAGGGTAGAGCACAATGATCACCTAGGCAAGCATCGATGCATTCATTTTCTCAACTTGCGCAATCAAGTAGCCTGAAAGCACAACTGTGTAAGAGCTTCGACTCCAACGAATGAGTTCGGTTAGTTTGCCGTATAACTCGTCCTTTATGTGTCGGAATTGCAAGTGGTCAGTGCATATGTTGAGTTAATGGATAAAAACCACATGGTGTTGCTTCTTTTCTGGACCCCTGAAGCCTCATCGTAAATAAGTGACTGTTGACGGTAATCCAACTGATTAGTAACGCTTCGGGTACGTTATTGAGTAAAATACCTAATCCCTGCTGAAACGCTTCATCGTCACCTGATGTGCAGAGGAAGCACCTCAAGGACAAATCTGGTGCAGTTAAGTGGTCTTAAGTACTAGGTTCGTGGATTCGCGTCTCCCATAGGCAGAAACCATTAATTTTTAGAGTCCATTTCCGACAAGCAACTGCATTAGAGTCCTCATGTTGCAATCACCTACATTCAGCTAGTGAAGAGGCTTCATAATCTGCAAGATAAAGATTGACTGTCGGTATTCGAACACCGCTGTCTACGCATCATTATACTAGGTGAGAGGAATAGCTTTTGATAACTGCGGACACCCACTGGAGCCAATGTGGCATGCGTTACGCATGTCACTAAATAGATTGCAACGGCGAGGCCAGCAGCGGGTAAAAAGTTTAAGGATGATCAAACTAGTATCTGGCATGATGGTATGAAAGCCCTAACCAGGAAACTCGATCATATAGGTCGCATTAGGCTCCCTGGATGGGGACCCCGAGATTATGGTTACACGGAAGTTAGACACCAAATGATATGGCGGAGCGACAAACAATGGCGTTCGTGCGTCTGCTCACTATCGTTGCAACCCCTGTGTACATGAATCCTGTATTTTATCTTTGACCCTGTTCTCAACATTTCTTCTGCTGTTTTATCCAAATCGGCACAAAGGTGCATGGTTAATGGCCGCAAAAACTGAACTAAACGAACAAACTTTTCCAGAGCTTGATGCGCATGTTCACATCACAACACCGGGACAGTGAAGTTGATATTCTGGTCTAAATTTGCTCTAGTGACTTCATCAACCAGCCTAATGGATCACACGCGTAGCGCGGGCTTGGCATTGAACAAGGGAGTGGTTGCACAGATTAAACAACAAGAAAATGCAAATATATATTTGTACACGTTGGGAACAATGTTCAAGACGGGATGGCGTTAGGACAGTTTGAAACAGCAAAGCACGGGTATATTCATGTGGGTCCTTCTTCTTTCTTCGACTGAATTTTCGCGAATCCGGCCGTCACACTGAAATACTTTTTCCCGATCTCCACAGATTTCTCAGCCGCCTGCGGATTCACTATCTCCAAGCCCTACAGAGCGACAGGAACGGGTGGAGACAGAAAAACGAAGTTATTTTCACGTTCGAGCGGTCCTGAAGAATGTTAAACTTGGTTACAAGATACCAGCGAGCAACTGCACAACTGAAGAAGGATCCGTCGATTGGCCGTGCGACAGCAAATTTTTATTACCACTAAACAACACTACTCGTTCGAGTATGACTGCGGGAACAAAGTCAATCAATCAGAAATTCATGGAGGCGTTCCAGATACCTCAGTTTAACGAACAATAGTCCCGCTTTTGCTAAACTTGATGTTATCTCATTCTCAATGTCACCGACAGCTGTTATTCTACTCTCGAATTACGCGACCAAAGAACTGGCTATGCATGGCTCGCGTAGCTCACTGACGTGTTGTACCAATGTGAAACTGAAGAATTAGGCATGTTTACTATGGTCCATCAAAGATTAGCAATCAAGTGATGAGATTGCTTTCGGCATACATGAGTCCTTGTGGTTGGATTGATGATATGATCAACACAATTCGAAGTTTATCATCTTCAACGTCACCAGTACCAGAGCGTAAAATAAATCCACTAGGCAGTTGGTCCGCTAAAAAGCGGTACTCAATTCATGAGCAAGGTGCATTTAGATTAGTGAGAGAAATGGTGGTCATTGCTCACCTGTAGTGGTGTGAATGCGATTGACGAGGATGTGCCAGCCACATTCTTCCGAACAGTCGAACTTCCGCCCCACGTTGTTGCACCCAGTGCCGTGGTTGGCATCGTGGACATCCCACCAAATCGGGACAACTTCTGTTGCAGCGCTTTGCTTACCCGAGCTTTTGTCTTCGAATCGGCCTGAGGTGCTCGAAGTCGACCGGCAATCCCTCGTTGACCGAGTGAACCCAACGAGAAACCCAAATCGCTCTGATACGCATCGTCGCTGATCTCACCGAATTGGATCCGGTTAGCTGATCGACGTAATTCGGTCAGACCGAGACGCTCTTTCATTTTCCGGTATCGTTTACCTCCACGCTTTCTGTGATTGCACAGAGGAGGAAGAGTAGCCAAGTTAAACTGCAGGTTCAAGGGATATTTGATGGAAAAAGAAGGCAAGACAAGACAACGAAAATCCTCACCATACCTAGAGAGTGAGAGGATACTGCGGCAACACGCCACAAGATGTTTTAACTTCCTCAAGGAAAAACGATATTCCGGTGAATCTATCACATCAACAGTGTTAAACCACGGTAACATGTGATCAAATACCACAATATGCGCAAACATGGAAAAGTCAGGGACACACTGAAAATACAACAAGCTTATCTATTTTATTTTTAAAGTTTTTGACTGCGAGGACGAACGGAATGGTGCGCCGTAGTTGTGTTTGTAAAAAAACGACGGATGATAACTAAAAACGCGGAACCCTGCAGCAATTCCTTGGAACGGAAAAAAAAACTCAGTATGCATAGGATCTACACGGAAGCAAGTGCGTTTGAAAAATCAGGAACACTGGAGAATAGAGATCAACAACGGGGTGTCCAAAGATGGACTGGTAAGTACAAGTTACACCTTAGTGAAAAACGTTTGACGAGCATAGTACGGGGGTGCTTGTATCAGTGTGGCCAGTCTATTCACTAACATTAACCCCCGTTTAGTAGCTTTATGCACCCGGATGGGAGAATTTTCAGCATTTTACATCACTGTTGTGGATGCAAATTTATAAAATCGCACAAAATGCAACTGAAATTACTAGGTACCCTGTGAGTCAATGAAGCAAACAATTAGGTAGTTCAGTGGAACGTTTCTCCTTGTTAATAAGTATACGTGCTAGACATGGCGTATTGAAAATAGAATCATTTTGAGTTCGATCACGGTACGCAACCATTACACGGTAAAAGACTGAAAGCTTGAAATTTATTAGTACAACAGTAAGCGAATTTGGCAAGGTATCAAATTGCTGTGTGGGACCAAGTCCAAAACGCCGGATTGTACAACGGATTTGGACAGTGTTAATGCAGCATTTATCCACCCATCAAGCGATACGATCACGCCATTTGTCCTCCGCAATGCCGTTCAAGTAGAGGCCGTCTCGAAAGAAGAAACTCTTGAGTTATTGCGTACGGTGAAAACCACGTGCAGTGTTGGTCCCGATGGTCTTTCATCTTCCCTTCTGAGATATGAGGCCTATTCTCTCAGTGAAATTTTCACA